TTGGGCATCCTCCATGACCCCACCACGATATCATCCTCATGGGAGCTGGCGTTGGTGACCCCTCACCCCTGATCATACCATGGGGTGCTATGTTGGTGGTCCCCACCTTGCCACGTCCTGGGGTGGTGGTATGATAGTCACCCCCTTGATACCTCCTGGGGGTGGTGGTATGATGTCCACCCCCTTGGTACCTCCTGGGGGTGGTGGCATGATGCCCACCCCCTTGCCACGTCCTGGGGGTGGTATGATGGTGGCCACCCCCCTTGCTACCTCCTGGGGGTGGCTATCATCCTTCTTGCCTTAGCCAAATTCGTTCATAACCCCCCTCACCTGGTCATGGGGGTGGCGGTATGGTGCCCACCCCCTTGCCACCTCATAGGGGTGGTGGTATAGCTCCCACCCCCTCTGCGTGTCATGGGGTGGTATGATGGTGGCCACCCCCCTTGGTACCTCCTGGGGGTGGCTATCATTCTTCTTGCCTTAGCCAAATTCGGCCATACCCCTCACCCCTGATCATACCATGGGGTGCTATGTTGGTGGTCCCCACCTTGCCACGTCCTGGGGTGGTGGTATGATAGTCACCCCCTTGATACCTCCTGGGGGTGGTGGTATGATGTCCACCCCCTTGGTACCTCCTGGGGGTGGTGGCATGATGCCCACCCCCTTGCCACGTCCTGGGGGTGGTATGATGGTGGCCACCCCCCTTGCTACCTCCTGGGGGTGGCTATCATCCTTCTTGCCTTAGCCAAATTCGTTCATAACCCCCCTCACCTGGTCATGGGGTGTGGTGCCCACCCCCTTGCCACCTCATAGGGGTGGTGGTATAGCTCCCACCCCCTCTGCGTGTCATGGGGTGGTATGATGGTGGCCACCCCCCTTGGTACCTCCTGGGGGTGGCTATCATTCTTCTTGCCTTAGCCAAATTCGGCCATAAACCCCCTCACCTGGTCATGGGGGTGGCGGTATGGTGCCCACCCCCTTGCCACGTCCTGGGGGTGGTGGTATAGCTCTCACTCCCTTCTGCGTGTCATGGGGGTGGCTCCCATACTTAGCCAAATTTGGAGATACATGGCGCGCGTGGTGGCACGGAGTAATGGGCCAAAAAACCCAATCTCCATGGCCCACTCAACTGATTTGAAATGATATGATTAAGTTGGCCTTATAAAGCCATTTAATTCCTTGTTTTTAACCGATGTGGTACAAGGTTAATTTTTTGTGTAAACAATTGCCCCCAACTACTTAGTGCATAAGGATTATGGACTAAGTAGTTTACACCATATATCACTCAACCTCACGCCTCGTTCAGATCGAGCTCAAACCGCTCAGACCTTCAATCGGTTAGGATTTGGCTTTATCAAAAGTCAAAAACCACAAGTTTACTTCCACCCTAATATTGCTACGCAAGGGTTGGGAAGGATTTATTATATATATTATATATATTTTTCACTTGCTTCCCTACCTCGCGTAACTTAACAGAAATCAACTTGATCAAATTAATGATCCCTTCCCATTATTATTTGGATTCTCGGCCTCATGGCCAACTAAATACCTAGCCACCCACAAACATGATAAAATTCACTTTAGTTCGGCCAGGGGACTAAAGCAGGAATCGATTAATTTGATTTGCTTACCTTGCCATGTTTGGCTAGGACTCTTAGTTCCTTTCCCTTGTAGGATTCTACAATCAAATTCTTTCCTTAACCAAAAAGATTTACTTGCTCCAACTTCTAGCTCTATAAATAGATACTAATATCAACCTTCATTTTCAGCGTTCATCAACAACCCACACTCCAGAGAACAACTCCTTCAAACCCGTGTGGCACACAAGTTTTTCCAAGTAAGCAATCCTTACTTTTGCACTTTTATGGCCTACGACTAATTTATCATTTGGCCATGCATTTACATTGTTTTTGGATTTTTTTTTTGTTTTTTTATGGCCGCCAATGCATATATTACAGATTGTTATGATTTTTTTTTATGCTTGGCCGCCCAAATATATATATCATACGTGTTTTTTTTTAATATACATATTGCCATTCATGCGCATATACTTGCATATCATTATTATTGGCCTTTTTTCTTGAATGGCCGCCAATATACATATAGTTTAATAGTTATATTATTATTGTTTTTGTTGGCCACTTTTTTTTTCACCGTACACCCATAGTCTTAGTACCACCCCCTAACTCCGAGCTTGTAATAATGTAGGATGGCTAACTCCGAGCCAAACAAGCAAGAGATACAAAATGCAACTAGCAAATACCAGAAAGAGTACGTGGCGTTATGTAAGGAACCAGGGTTGAAGATGGACTTCTTGGAAGTGAAAGAAAATGGGGAGGGTTGACTTGGGCCTTACCTCACTGATGAGAATACCATCTCCGCTGCTACCCTTGACCAGTATCCACTTGGGGGTAGCTTCCCTCTCTACCTCGAAGAAGAAATACCGCCTACCATGTTCTTTCGCCCCACCAAAAGCAAGAAACCAGTGTCCTCGTGGCCAAATAGTGATCCCATCTTCCTCAAGTGGTACAAGAGGTTGAAGGTTGACACGAACACCAAGGCACAATGGATGACATCTGGCATTACTCATCTATTGGCCCTTTGTGTTGCGATTCCGGATCCAGATGTTCAGCTATTCAAAGTTGCCTTGTGCTTCTGGTCTCTAGGCTCCAACTGTTTTGTCCTCCCCCCGGGTGCGATGACTATCACCTCAATGGACTTAGCCGCCCTCACTGGTTTGTCCTTAGGGGCCAAAGCACCAACATACCCCACTCCCCTTGCTGAGCAAACTCCTATTTTGCCGCAATCCTTCACTAGTTTGCACCAGCAATACTTGCCCGCTGATGTAGGGGCAGCTATCACCTAGAAGGAGAGGGTGGCTTTCATCCACTACTGGTTATGCAGGTTCATTATCTGCCCGACTCATGGATGTCCCCGCAGGTCTGTATCTCATATCTCGTACCAACTTTCTGACGGGATTCCTCGTGCTGATTTTCTGGAAATCATCTTGGCACATCTCTACCACGGCATGCACACCCTCATTCATCAACTCAAGAAGGGCATCACTCCTACTGGCAGCGGTCCCCTATGGTTAGTGCTCCTTTGGATTTATGCTTATATTCCAACAACACGGGGTGACCTTTCCCTCTTGGACCAAATGGACCCCAAGCCACATTCTTATGGCTTGTATTATGCGAAGGCTCCCCCTTTGATGCACAGTTTTGATAGCTACTTTGCTCAATTCTACAACTTAAAAAAAGGCTTCATATTTACCCCCTTTGCTAGTCGAGCTGTGGGTCCTTCCTATTTCTCCATGACTTTCTCCGCATTCCCTGCTAAAGGAGAGCCTAAGACAAACTACGAGAGATTTGCTAGTCAATGGGTCAACTGGGTGGTAGCACGAGATCTCCTTCTCAACCCAACCAATGGCAAAAATGCAACTTATGTGGAGCCTTACAACCCTCACTATGTTGCAAGACAATTTGGCTTGATTCAAGGGTGACCTTTGTCGAACCCGTTCTCATGCCAACTTGACACCCCAGGCGAGAGAAATCCATTACAAGACAAGGAGGTGAAGAAACTTGAGGCATGGCATGCCTCTTTACTCTCTTCCGTTCCATTCACACCCTTCAAGTCAAGTCCATACTCCACTCCTCTTTTCAAGAGAGTGCTCTCAAAAACATTGGATGACCTAAAGCTCTTTGTTGGTAATCCTCAAACCATTGTCAATGGCCTCCTTACCAATGTGCCCCAAGGGGAGGGCCCCGATGGCCAAACCTCGAGTAATGGTGGCAAGGGAAAAACTGGTCACACCCAAACATCCAACACATCATCAGCCAAACGCCCTGCATGTAAGCCTTCTTCCCATTGTATATTTATATGGCCTGCCTTTTGTTTTTCTTTCTTTTCTCTAACCATGAATATATTTTCTTTGTAATATAGCTTCCAAAAAATCTCATGGACATATTCGACCAGCCAAGCAATCTCGTCCCCCACACAAACCCCAAACCAGTGCACATGTAAGTCTTCCCATTCCCCTTAGCTAGTATTCCTTATTTGTGATGACACCCCCTAACCACCTGTCTCATTGTGTAGTCAGAGACAATGATGTCAGATGAAGATGAAGAAGAGCCCCCCTCTGACCCAGAGGAGGAGGAGGAGGAGGAGGAGGAAGATAAGGAGGAGAACTCTGTTCTCAAGGGTGCTCGTAGTACTACCCGTACAGAGTCAGAGGGTGGTGATGACGAACCTGCCGACGAAGGTTCTGAAGAAGGGGAGGTCGAGATCATAGAACACACGGGGAAAAACAAATGGGGTCTCCATTCATCTTCGTCTTCGCCCCAGCCTCATGATCCTCAGCCCTCGGCCAACTTGGTGTCGCACCCCCCTCGTCCTCCCACCTTGGGGGCTCGTTCTACCACCCTGGGGGCTGGCTCTACCACCCCCTCCCCACACCAGGGGGTCCAGGGATGACTACAAGGGCAACTCCACCTACCACCACCACCCCTGGTCTCTTGGGATTTAATCAGTTCCCCTCCGGGCCTACCATATTTGGACACTCCTTACACATAAGTGGTACTTCTTTTCAAGTTCCACCAACAAACTTGTTCTCAGGTATCCAAATAATTTCTTCATCAAATGCCAACTTTTAACTTCCATTTATACATACAGTTTGAGCAACACATTTCTCTCGGGTCCCCACAACGACTCCTTTCATGGAGGTGAAGGAGTAATAGTGGATGCCACCACCCACCAAATGACCCCTTTAATGGAGGAAGCCGAGGAGGAGCAATACCCACACCCTACTAGCCTCATGGGTAATCCTTCAACACTTGAACGAGTAGAGACCCCCTGGGCATGGTAAGCATCACGTCCAAACCAAAGCCTCCTCTCTATAAATTTTTTTTTTTTATGATGAAGACACCAATATCTCACATGTACACAACTTGCAGGGTGCCACCACTCTTAATGATGACCTCCAATTCCTACGAGACTTGGAGAGCCAATATCAGGTGGCTGCCACCAACCCTTTTGCCAACACGCCTTCTTCATCCATTCATGAAGCCCTGGATGTTGTTGACAACTTCCTATCTTACACTTTGGACGAAGTCATAGGGGCTTTTGACTCTGCCTGGCCTGAACAATCCCTTGCTCTTTTGTCCAAGCTCGAGCTTCACATCCCACTACCAGGTTTGAGCATGGACCACATGCTATCTATGCACACTGCTTCAGACACCATCAAATCCTGTCTTGGGGCTATCGAGCAGGCTACAAAGTTGAAGGATACCATGCTCCACAAAGAAAATGCTAGAGCCACCACTTCCACCTCCTTGCAAGGGAAAGTATCACAAGGCAAGGCCATGTCAAGTCAGGTTACCACCCTTGAAGCCAGGAAAAATGCTCGCTCTTCTAGGATAGCTGAGTTGGAGGCCGAACTCAGTAGGCTTCGTGCAGAGGAGGCACAAGAGCAAACCTAGTCAGATTCTCTAATTCAAAACTTCAACGTGTTGATGGGTGAAATTCGTGCTCTTGCTGACCAGGAGAAGAATCTTACTCCCATGAAGGAAATAGCCTTTCCCGAGCAAAAGCCGACCAGGAGGAGCGTGAAAACAAAGCCAAGCTCGTTAAACTAAGGGCCACCTTTGATGAGATCAGGAAGATCCTCCATCCTTGAAACTTCGATTTTCATTTATGCCCCATGTTTGCTTTATTTTCCTTCCATTATGAACAGTCGGCTTAGCCACTTTGTTGGCCTTTATTTCATTTCCTTTCTTTAGATCGAATGAGTATGATTTGATTTTTTTTTCGTTCCCCTATGCATACGTGCCTTCTCATGTCTTTTTCCATCTCACACAAAGATCATGCCCCCCATGCCAACAAGGCCACCAACACTCATGGTCAATCTTAAATCACGTGGCATGGTATATTTTGAAACTATTGGGGCCAAAACAACACCATGCCCCCCTAATCCCACTTACTACTAATCAATCCCCATGCCAATAACCATCCCCCCATGTCTTGTCGTGGGTTATGGTTCACATCTTAGCACCATTTTAAGGTTTGGCATGGGGTTAGGCCACCTTAGTGGCCTAGCAGTCTCAAAACTTACAACAACCCACGTCCCAAAGAGAAGGGACGTAAGGTTTCAAGTATTTTCCGTTGATTAAACGTTCATGGAACACTCCATCGAGATCCTTTAGTAAATAAGCTCCATTGGGACGAGTAGAATGAACAATGAAGGGTCCACGCCAATTAGGAGACCATTTACCAAACTTGGGATCCTTATCTCCAATGGGCAAATGAATTTTCCATACCAACTCACCTTCCTCAAATGACTTGTGCTTGACTCTCTTATTGTAAGCACGAGCCACCTTGTCCTTTTGTATCCGGATATTATCGAGAGCTTTGAGTTGGAGTTCATCAAGATCACACAATTCCAACATCATGGACTCATAGTATTCAGATGGTGCTAGCTCATGTTGGCTCATGTATCTTAATGACTTAACAGTCACCTCCACCGGCAAGAAAGCTTCATGGCCATAAGTTAGCATAAAAGGGGTCACCTTTGTACTACTACGTGGAGACATCCGATAAGCCCATAAAGCTTCCGATAAGACTTCATGCCACTTTCTCAGGTTATCTTCAATCATCTTAGACAATATACCCTTCACCACCTTGTTGGATGCTTCAGCTTGACCATTGGCTTGAGCGTAGTAAGGAGTGGAGTGTATGATCTTGATGCCGTGTTCTTCGTCAAAAGCCATCACTTCCCCTCCCGTGAACACAGTACCCTGGCCAGCTGTTATGGTGGCTGGCAGGCCAAAACGGTGTATTATATTTTCTTTGATGAACTTGATGATTTCTCCTTGATTAACCACTGTCATTGGCTTGGCCTCCACCCACTTGGTGAAGTAATCAGTTGCCAAGATGACAAACGTATGTCTACCAGAAGATGGTGGATAAATCTTCCCAATCAAGTCCATGGCCCATCCCATGAAAGGTCGAGGCTTGATGATAGACTTCAAGTCGATGGCCGGAGCTCTTTGCACCGGTCCATGTCGTTGACAAGCCTCACACCCCTTAGCAAAAGCAGCATAATCTTCCCCGATGGACGGCCAGTAGTACCCATATCGGTGGAGTACCCATCTCATAGAAGAACCTGCTTGATGAGCACCACATATCCCTTCATGAACCTCACCCATGGCTTCTAGGGCCTCCTTGCCCCCCAAGCACTTCAATAGTAAACCGTCTGATCTCCTTTTGAATAAGACCCCATCCAACAAGACATAGTTCCTTGCCTTGAATTTGATGGCCCGATCCACATCCCCTGTTGGATTCTTCAATTATGCTACCAAGGGGGTACGCCAGTCACTGGCCTCCTCTTCAATTGTAAACACGTCTACCCTTTGCTTAAGTCTCGCATGTAGGGGGTTGAGCGTTCGCACAAAAATTTTCTCTCCCCTTCATGAGCAAACTCTTTGAACCCCGAAGCCAATTGTGCTAAGTAGTTGGCCTTCCCATTGTCCTGGCGAGGAACATACTTGATGGAGACATTATCAAAGTGGGTAATTAATATGTGGACATAGTCAAGATATGTCTCTAGTATGCAATTGATGCATCGAAATTCACCAAGTACTTGGTAGACTACCAGTTGGGAATCCCCTTGGATATTAACATTTTTGACTTTCAAGTGAACAAGCATCTCTAGCCCCACCACTAAAGCCTCATACTCGGCTTGCTTGTTAGTACATGGGAGATCAAGTGTAAAGGCAAAATGCATGGCATGCCCTGATGGGGAAGTGAGGACCACGCCAGCACCCGCTCCAGACCGTGTCTTTGATCCATCAAAGTATAAGGTCAAAGGGGCCTCCTCCACCATGTCTATTTCTACCAACTCAGCTGGCACATCCACACATGGGTGGTCAGCTAAGAAGTCAACCAATGCTTGGCCCTTTATTGCCTTTTGAGGCACATATTGCAAGTTGAACTCAGATAGTGCAAGTGTCCACTTACCAATCCTACCATGGATGATTGGTCGGGACAACATGTACTTTATTATATGAGTCTTACATATGAGTTGCACTTGAACAGCCATCAAGTAGTACCTTAGCTTCATACAAGAAAAATATAAGGCTAAACATAACTTCTCTACAGGGGAGTACTTTTGTTCTGCCTCGTTTAATAGTCTACTTAAGTAGTACACGACCTGTTCATGGCCAGAGTCATTATCTCGAGCCAACAGACACGCTACAGAGGTGTTAGTGGCTGAAAGGTACAACTTCAATGGCCGATGTGGGATTGGAGAGTTGAGTACCGGCGGGGTTGCCAGGTACTTCTTGATGTCATCAAAGGCTTGTTGATGCTCTTGACGCCATACAAACTCATCTTCCTGCTTCAACTTCAACAAAGGAGAGAAGACTTGGGTTCGGCCACCACAGTTCGAGATGAAACGTCGAATGTAGTTAACTTGGCCGAGGAACCTTTGAAGCTCTTTCTTATTACTTGGTGGCATGGCCTCAATGATGGCCTTGGTTTTGCTCTTATCAACCTCAATGCCACGTTGGCTCACAAGGAACCCTAAGAAGTCACCTGCAGACACACCAAATGCACACTTAAGTGGATTTAGCTTCAAGTTATGGCCTCTCATACGTAAGAAAGCCATGCGAAGATGAGATAAGTGTTGACTTGTTACCTTAGACTTGACAACAATGTCATCCACATAGACCTCAACCAACTCACCAATCAAGTCATGAAAGATAGCATTCATGGCTCGTTGGTAAGTGGCACCAGCATTCTTCAACCCGAAGGGCATGACGAGCCACTCATAGCACCCTATGGCTCCAGGACATCTGAATGCGGTCTTGTGGATGTCTTCCTCGGCTAAGTAGATATGATTATAGCCTGAGTAACAATCCATGAAAGAAAAGATATTACGCCTAGTTACTGCATCAAGCAACATGTCCGCAATTGGCATGGGGTATTCATCTTTAGGAGTGGCTAAGTTTAAATTTCTAAAATCTACACATACACGTATCTTGCCATTCTTCTTTCTGACTGGCACTACATTGGATAACCACTCCACATACCTGGCCGTCCTAATGAAGCCAGCCTTCAACAATCTTTCAATTTCTTTCTTAATCTCTGGCAAGACCTCATAAGCAAAACGTCTAGGCGGCTGTTTAAAGGGTTTGAAACCAGCACTAATGGGTAATCTATGCTCTACTAACTTTCTATCTAGACCAGGCATCTCGTGATAATCCCATGCAAAACAATCCTTAACTTCTTTTAACAAATTAATTAACTCATACCTCTCAGCTTCGGGGAGCATGGCACTGATGAAAGTAGGACGTGGGTCGTCCTCGGTGCCAAGATTGATCTCCTCCAACACATCACGTGATGTCATAAGTCTTTGGTCTTCTCCAGATATACCCAGTACCTCGCCTTCTTCAGGAAAGTCATCCTCAGGCACACAGTCAGCCATCAACACGCTTCCTCACAAGCTAACCTCTGCTCGCATTGATAGATGGCTAACTTCTCCAACAAGGTCTTCACTTCGGCCTTGCCCACTACCTCATCTCGAAGTGGTCTACTCATCATTGATACTCGTTTCGGTTTTAGGTGGACCATCCAAAGCAATCATAGATGGTCTCACAATGTCGGCAAGGGGGTCGAGGCATGCCATGCTCAATATCTTAGCACTTGACATCACCACTGTGCATGACCCTCCATCCATACTCCTCACTTGTAGAGGCCCGAAGTCTCCATGATAGAGTGGAGCCTCGGCCACGTTAGCACCAACTGCAAAGGGGTTGGTGTCTGCTTGTACTACCTCCACCATTCCTTCTTTATTCCAAAACATCAAACACTGATGAAGTGATGATGGGACACACTTGTTGGCATGGATCCAATCCCTTCCCAACAAGGCATTGTAGCTTATCGCCCCATACACCACAAAGAAAGCAGACATTTTCTCTTGACTACCAACTCCAATTAAGACCGGTAGTATCCCCCTTGCTGATGTTGATCCCCCATTGAAGCTAGTAACGAAGATATCCGTGGGAATCAAATCGCTTGTAGTCTTTCCCAATTTTCTTAACAGTCTAGTGGGAATCACATTGACAACAGCTCCATTGTCAAACAAGGATTCTTGAAATCGGCATACCATCCATCCTAGCCTTGATATAGAGGGGCCTCAAATGCCTTAGCATACTTGGCTCTGGTTCCTTGAAAACCACTAAGTGACTTAACTCATCACTTGTGTTTTCCTCCTTCATGACCTATTTCCCTTTCAAGGTGGCTACTTGCAAGACTTCCTCTTCTCTCGGCGAACTTTCTTCCTTTGCTGCCGAACCCTCGGGCTCACCATCAAACTCCCAACCCCAAGAAGGGTTCTGGATGGGTGAGGACGATGAAGCTTCAGGACCCTGGTATAACACATAAAAAGGGTATCTCCCATCATCTTTACCAAGCAAACCAA